AATGGCTCCAGGCAGGGATCTGTGTCGGCATGGATCCCCGCTGCTCTCCCCCACTTGTAGGGTCTGTGGCAGCAAGGATCCGGAATAAAAATCTGGGGTGGGCGGAGGAGCGAGCGGCGCTGGCGGGGAGAAGCCGGCTCTGTGTGTGGCTAAACGAAGGATCTTTACCAGTCCGGTATATTTACCGGTCCTCTGTGTGCAGAGCAAACACTGGAGCGATCGTCTGATCACTCCAGTGTTTGTAAATTACTGGGGACACATAGTAGTATGTGTCCCCAGTTATGAATGAACAGGATGTGATTTACATCCTGTTCATGATTTTCTCAATGGGGAGAAACACTTGCTACAGAGGCTCCTCCCCATTTAGAAACTGCTGATAGTAGGCTCCTCCCCATTTAGAAACTGCTGATAGTAAACATGTTACTATCAGCAGTTTTTGAATGAATGGGAGGCCTCTGTACCGAGTGCTGGGGTTGCAGAAAAAGAAATTGTGTCCTCCAATTTCTTTTTCAAAAGGGAAATATCAAAATATCAGTGGTCTGTTTAGACCCCTAATATTTCCCTGTTTTATGAAAAAATGTAAAAAATTAAAGTAAATTTGTAAAAAAAAAACACAAAACCCCCTTCCTCCACACACAACATACATGTGCACCATGTCGTGGTGTACGCCACGCACATGCTCTGCAGTGCATTATTAGACCGCATCGCAGTGCATCCTTAGTTTAGACCCTAGATCTTTAACCGTACACCTCCCCCCCAACAGTAAAAAAAAATCTAATGTTTTATGAAAAAATAAATTTAAAAAATGTAAACAATAAAAAAGTAAATTTGTAAAAAAAAAAACACAAAACCCCCTTCCTCCACACACAACATACATGTGCACCATGTCGTGGTGTACGCCACGCACATGGCAAAGCTTTGTGATGCATTGCTGTGCGTTGTGATACCTTGTTTTGCAATTAAATCTACGCATGTATTTTATCACAACAAACACCAACACAGCGCAAAAACAATTTTAACATAAGTCGCTTATTTACAGTTTTGCGTTCCTTCATTTTTTAACCTTTTTGCAAAAAAGCGCAATTTCAAAATATTTGTTAATAACTCAATACAGATAATAATAATAAATCTTTTAGATTGTCGAAAAATAAAAAAAATTTGTGCACTGATACTGATTTTAGGGCTGTATCAATTGAATTGTGTATTTTTATCGGTTTAATGTTTGAGAAACATTTGCATTTTAAAAATATTTGTTAACTCAATACAGATAATAATAAATCTCTTAGATTTAGTCAGAAAATAAAAAAAATTTGTGCACTGATTTTAGGGCTTTATAAATTGAATTGTGTATTTTTATCGGTTTAATGTTTGAGAAACATTTGCGCAATTATCGGAGGGCCCACAAATTTAGTAGCACCATCTTTTTATTCTACCGGGCCTGTGCTTTCAGAAAATATATGGTTTGGGGGGTCTTTTACAAACGATAGCAACGCAGCAGTTGAAAATCAAATCAATGGGAAGAATTGCAAAAATGTTGTGGCCAGCTGAGTTGCAAAATGTTTCGGAGGGCTTGGCAGCAAAAGAGTTAAAAGTAAGATGGGTGACTTACAGTTTTCATGTGGTTTGATGTAGGTCCAGCAAACTGTGCAAGACCTGTTTGGCCGTGCTCCCAGCAAAGCTGTAAATCCCGATGAAGCTGTGGCTATTGGTGCTGCTATTCAAGGTGGTGTATTGGCTGGTGATGTAACAGATGTTCTGCTGTTGGATGTCACTCCTCTTTCCCTTGGAATTGAAACACTTGGTGGAGTCTTCACAAAGCTAATAAGCAGAAACACAACTATCCCTACAAAGAAGAGCCAGGTAAAATATAATGTGATTGGATTAAAATTAACACAGTTGCACACCAAACTAAATAGGCTGTTAATGGTAAACTAGGAGAAACAGAAAGCGATCCTTTCTACAGTCTTTAGAATGTACAGTATTGCATCATTTTAACAGATTTGCTTATCGCCAATTTTGGCCATTGTCCTGATTATGGAGCAGGTATATTCCCGGGTGTGGGAAACACGAGTGATCATTACACACAGAATGTGGTGTTTTGCCTTTATGAAGATACAGAGGGGGGAATTTATCAAAGCAATTGCGATAGTTCCTCCTGCTCCAGAGCATCTCCTCCTCCTCCAGAGCATCTCCTCCTCC